GTTGGCAGCCCGGGGACCAGCCCCAGCCCCAGCCCCAGACCGATGTAGCAGCATCATCTCTGGACAGAGGGGCTGACCTGGGACCACGTGGCTGTGGCAGTGGCATATCTGGCTTCTGAGGACAGGGCAGAGCTGCATGGTCATGGCAGCAACATCTCCAGCATCTAGGACTGGCCCGGGGATATGTGGTCACAGCAGTAGGTATCTCCCGGCCTCCAGGGCCGCCTGGGGCCGCATGGCCATGGCAGTGGCACCTCTGGTCCTAGGTTGTGTGGCTGTAGCAGTGGTGCCTCCAGGGCTGACCCACAGCTGCGTGACTGCGGCAGTGGTGCCTCTGGGGTTGCTTGGCTTGCAGTGCCTCTGAACATTGGGGCCATCCCTGGACTGCATGGCTCCTATAACAGCAGGGCCTCCCTCTGGGGCAGCTGGGACAGCATGTCTGCAGCTGTTGCTGGAAGGGGGCACAAAGCCAATTAAGGTTCCCTCTCATGGCACCCCCCCCCAATCCCCTCACTTCCCTTCCTCCCAAGATCTGGCATTCCCAGTTTGCTCTGACACCCTCACTACTTCTTGCACGCTCTCTCCTGGCCACAAACAACACCCTCCCTTGTTCCTGCTCCCTCCACCTGTCCAGACACCCTACTCCCAGCCTGTTTCTGCACCCCAGCTCCCTCCCAGATCCTGCACCCCATCCCTATCTTACTTGCTGGCAGCCCTGTCTCATGCACTGTACCCCTCATTTTTGTCCCTACTCCAGAACCTAAGGAAATCCACTAACGCATGAACCCCAGAAAAGTAAATCTGATCTATAGGAAGCCTTAAACCTCAGTCCCCCCCCCTTTTTCACTCCTCACTTTGTGAGGCTGAGGCACCAGAGGGGTGAGGTGTCTCAATTGAGGCAACATCAGTGAGCATTGGGGAGGTTTGGAGGAGTTTTTTTGCTTCTCACTTATGTGGTACCCAACTGATTTTTTTGTGGATGAGTGACCCCTGGCCCCACACCTGCCATAAATAAAGAAAACACTGAAACCTTTTGTGTTGGACATAATATTTTACTTTATTTAAATGAAGTTTGATAAACTAACATGAGAAAGTTAAAACGCTTCATCTGTTTCATAACTAAACCATTCTGACTCGCTGAGGCTGGTTCAGAAACTAAGGTCACTGTACCCAGCAGGGTCGTTCTCAATCCCACCTCTTCCACCTGAGGCCCCATCCCTTCCACCCAAGACCACACCCCTTCTAGGTGGCTCGCAGCCACTTCCAAAATTTGTGAAATGGCCCCCCTTCCAAAATTGTTGCCCACCCCTGGTGTAAGGGATCAAGCACTCATCCCTAGTATAAGGGGTCATGGCACCTCCTGCTGGTTTATCCAGGAATTAGCTCTTCCAGCCTTGTTGGCTGGGGTCTGATCCTCATTTACCTGTCTTCTGTTAATGTCTATACCACTCGTTAGGCCCTGTGTCCCTTCCATACCCCGGCACTCTTCCCTCAGGGAACTGCCCTTCAGCAGTTCCTCCACATTCTGGAGTTCTCTCCTCCCAGAGAACTCCAATTTCCTATATTACCTTGTCTCAGTGACCTATTGCCAGTCATCATCTAGCTCCTGCCTCAGAGGCAAACTGCAGTCTGAAATGGCCATTCTTCATTGGCAATGGGGTGTAAACCTGTTGTGCCTTCTCTTGCTCTGGCTGCCTTCCTGCAGCCCTAGTACCCCTCAGGCCTTGTAAGCAAGGCCTCAACCTTGGATTTTGCCCAGTTAGAGCTCCACAGAACTGCCTGCTCTTCCTCAGCACTGCCCTGCCTCAAGTAGCCTCTCTAGCTTCACAGGCAGCCAAGTCCTTCTGGCTCCACAGCTGGAGCAAGTGTGTGTGTATTCCCCCCAGGCCCACTGATGGGGGTGGGGCAATCACCAGGGCCTGGTGATTCTAAAGGGCTGAGGGCTCACAGTCATCATTGCTGCTATTGCAGCAGCAGCATCAGACCTTTCAGAATAGCCACTGGCGCACCTGGTGCACCAGAGCCCCACACCATGATCTTGGGCTGGTGGGAGTGGGTTGTCTGGGGAGCACTAGAGGCTGGATGCCTAGCCCTGCCCCTTCTGCTCAAGGCCCCACCCCTTCTGGGAGTGTGGAGGCGCCCCACACACACATTACCCAGGTGCCAGGCAATACTGTCAACTCCCCTGGTTCTTCCTCCTAGAAGCCCTTCTTATAGGGCTAGCCAGGCTCTGATTGGCTGTCTCTAGCCCTTTTCTGATTTGCCCACAGTCCCAACCCTCTTCCTGGGTTTTTAATCCTTATTTCCCCTGAGTGAGGTGAGCACTCTGCTACACTCAGATTAACAGGAGTCAGAACTGTCTTTTCACTTTTGCCATAGATTCCTTTCTTTGTACTCAGTCTTTGTTTCACCCTCCTCCTTTTGATTTTTTGTTTGTTTGTTGTGTTCCATCATAACTGCAATTAGAGTGCCACACCAGGTGTCCATTGCAATAGCATCTCCAGGTCTTCCGGGGGACTAGAGCAAAAAACTGGCTCGCAGAGCTTGACAGATCTAGACCGAATGGAATGTATTTTATGCAAAGCCATTTACTGTATGCAAAGCTGCCTGAAGGGGTTGCAATTAAGCTGTTGCTTCAGCACCTCAGAGTGGTGAAAGAGCCGTGAAGGACGTGATTACATCTCTTACGTGCTCTCCTGTTGCTGGGAAAATTAAGGTCAGGGGACTCCACCTTTTTCTATTCTTTCCATGGCCAGATATTTTAACTAACTGCTGGTAAAATCATCAGGAAGACAAAACAGATTATCGTTTTCATATTGTTAAGCCTCCAACCTATGTCGTAATCTTACAGGGGACTCTGTTTCCCCTTCAACCCACATGTACCATTGGGATTTAATACCCTGAATAAAACACATACAAATTGAATGTGGCTAACAGATTAACATTTATTGACAAAGCAAAAGATAAATTTACAACACCCTATACCAGTGAACAAGAGGGGAGAAATACTTTGGCTACTAAGTAATTTGGGGGCCAGAAGCCCAGGCCCTCAGTTAGTAAGCTAGGTAAAAATTAAGTGTGATGGATTCTCACCATACCATCTCCCATTGGCAGGTATGAAGCACCTCTGTGGCAAGGCCAAACACAGACAGGCAGGTAAAGGGCTGGATCCTGGATTGATAACTTCTCAGGTAAATTGTTTTTCTTTTTCTCTTCCTTCCTTTGTAATCTTGACTGCAAGTCTGAGCAGAGATGGATAGCCAAGGGGCTGCTATCTCATGCATGTGAGTAAGATACACCTCCCATTAATGTGCAGCTGAGATGCACAACTTTAAGCACATAAGAACATAAGAACGGCCATACTGGGTCAGACCAAAGGTCCATCTAGCCCAGTATCCTGTCTACCGACAGTGGCCAGCACCAGGTGCCCCAGAGAGGGTGGACCGAAGACAATGATCAAGCGATTTGTCTCCTGCCATCCCTCTCCAGCCTCTGACAAACAGAGGCCAAGGACACCATTTTATCCCCTGGCTAATAGCCTTTTATGGACCTAACCTCCATGAAATTATCTAGCTTCTCTTTAAACTCTATTATAGTCCTAGCCTTCACAGCCTCCACAGCCTCCACAAGATTGTCAGGGAGCAGCTACCCCTGTGTGGGCAGGGATGGACAGGCTTCACTGTTGCTTCTAGAGCAGACAGCCCTGAGTGACTGGGGAGGAGGCCTTAAATAGTCTTGTTTGCTGGTTAGTCTATTATGTGACTAACTTGTTCCTGCCACTGCATGAAAAAGGCGCCAAAATGTGAATAAAGAAGAAGAGCTGATATGGATTCAAACAGCTACCTGAGGCAATCCAAAATGGCAGCATGGCCTGTCTGGGGAATGAACAACTGAAAAACTTCCCCTGCAATGTAGGTGGATTTAAAGATTATAGGCTTCCCAGACAGGAGTATTCGGTATCACTGCTGCAAGGATGTGCAGGATAGTAGGGGAGGGACATCTGTTTCTTTGAAAAACTTTTCTGGGGTTTTGTGAAGTGTCAGACCCTATCTTGCCAAGCCCCTCATGAAGCTAAATGTGGTAGACAGTGTCCATGCAGGTAAACTGAGAGGGGTAGTTTCTCTCTCATTCCCTGACTTTTCTGGTGAATATCAGGTCAAAAATTTTGCTATATGCAATATGGAGGAGAGGGGTTTGACTTTGCCCTTGAATATAAATACCATCCAAATATGAATATTAGCTTCTTCTCCAGTCCATGGCAATCGTGGATGTTGTATATGAGACTGAGAGATGTAGCAGTGGGACATATGGGAAAAGGAGATAAGTGGAGAAAAAAAGATAGTCAAAACTAAGTTTGTTGGGATGGGGTAGAACGAGGAGGGGTTTGAAGTCCCCTACTCCAGAAATAAAGAAGGAAAGGTTAGAAATAACATTGAAACAGAAAATTATATTGAAAAGACACTGGATTCTTTCTTGGGATTCTATAGAAGAATAAAATGGTCAGGACTAAAAGGTGGTATATAATGGAGTCCCAAGATAGTTGTGTGATGAAAAGGTCTGAGAGGGACTTGAATCAGAGGCAAAGAGCAGGTCATTCCTTATCCAGTAGGGCAATCTCGATACAACATCTTAAATGTGATACTTGACCAGTTATATGCTGACTAAACCAAAAGCAGGTAATCTTTAAACTCATATGCATAAAATAAGAGTTTAATTTGGAAGATGGCATGTTTCATTATAATCAAGGCACATGACCTGGTGTGGAACCATCAATGCACAGAGGTCAGTGCCACCAAAAAGATCGGTACAGCCCTTTATAATCAGTATCTCATGTTGCTCTCTAGTAAATATGCTTTTGCAATATGATATAAATATGCTCTATTCAAAGGTTGTGTAAATTGCTTGGAATCTTCTGCTAGGCAAAATGCCAACAATGACAAGTGTGCTGATTTCACTGTGTTACTTTTAAAGACCTTTCATAATGAAACTCCCAATACTATTTTTTTAAATGATTCTTGTAGACTATTTTTTAGATCCCTTTAGACTCTTGATTTTTTTTCTCCAGTCTGGAATAATTGGCTTTGTAACCTTCCTAAGTCTGGGTCTTTCCCTCTCTCTCTCTCATATGCCAACAACTGGGATACATAGATAATTTATAAAAACAGAGTAGACACTTTTTAATAATTAAGTAATAGATAATGGGAGGGTGGTTTTCTTTCCACTGATGTACAATGGCTTTGAAGTAGAACAGAACCCTGAAAGGGATAGATGCCCATGTATTGTATTTAGGAAAAAATAATTGAAGAAAGCTGCTAATCTCATAGCATATAATTAACTACATTAAGACACTGAATGGTTCTCTTTATTTTACAGTGAATATACTTCATTGCAGTCACATGTATGCAGCAGTTCTATGGCAAAGAGCCAGCTGATCGCCCCAGACTAAATCACATAGCATCAACATTGCCTCTTCTCTCCAAATTACAGGGCAAACAATAACAGGTAAAATTAGCTAAGGCACTAATTATACAGCACAAGTGTGTAAAGGATGTAGAATGATAAATGGCAAATGCAGAATATGTTCTACCATATCATGTAGTCTTTCCGGTTACAGAGCTGAAAAACAAAGGGAGAATGGTATCTTGTTTGTTTACCATAGTCTACATCACAAATTAGAAATTCTTTCTAATTAAGATATTGTTAAATTTCCTTTTAACAAATTTTAACAATGTCAGTTAGAAGGTTAGAGTGATTATTGTTCATCTAACAAACAATTAGGGTGATTTGCACTGTGGTTCTCAGAAACCTAAGAGCATCCCAGAGCTTCTTGTCTTTTTACCCCCAGGCTTCTAGAGCTAAGGCAGGGCATCTGGGAATGCTAATGTAGTACGGTAGCCGCTCATTTAGCTTGAGTGTTGCTGGAAAATTATGTCTGCCTTCACAGCATATAACAGTTCAGAACAGCTGCAACTGTACAAGGATGATTGTGTCACAGACCGTGCTTGCTAAGGTCACTTTAGGTTGTATCTGCACTAGAACTATTTTTAATTTTCCCTTCATTCCACTGCCTGTGGTCTGTCTCCATGAGTGGTAGTAACTATGGGAGTGCTTGTGAAAACAGGGCATTACCATTTTTGCCTTTTGCTTGTGAGTGAAGCAAATCTGGAATCCTCACAAAACGGGCCCACTTTTCTTTGCAAGGCTAGCACCATGGCTGTAATATTTCCTTGCAAATAAAAGAAAGCGGCTAAACCATAGCAGAAAGTTAATGCCCAGTCTTTGGAGGGGGGTTACTTTATGAATCAGTTTGCTGGTTTCCGACAGCAAGAACTTGATTAAATCTTCACAATGAGAGGCCTGCAGAGATCAAACAAGAACAGGATTAAAGCTATTTTTAAAACAAAGGGGCCCGTTCCACTGCCAGTTAAGCTAATGGCATTTCTGCCATTGTCTGAAGGCAAGTGTAGAATTAGGCTCCAAATTAATTTTGAAAATAAACGTGTTGGATGGATAAACATCTGTGCGGAGGAGAGTAAATTGCCTGAAAACTGGATTGTCATTTACAATGCTCCAATAACTTTGCCTAGACTAGACTTATTTGAGATCTCTTCTACTGTTACAGCAATCACCTAATTGTCGCCACATTCTTTAGACTTGTGCTAAGCAAGGTTAGACAACTAGGTGATGAAAACGTCAGTGTACTTGCTTACTCTATACTCGTAAGGGTGTTATCACCAGTGGAGAAGTAATAGTGGCCATGGCTTGTGGAAGGTTTTCCAGCAAAGTTTAGGGCAGATCCAGCCACTGTGATACTTGTCATTCCAAAAACACTGAACCTTGTGGTCAATGTGTGAAATCAGTTAAACTGTTCAATCTGGGGTTCTTTCTCTACAGTTATTACTCAGTGAATCTAACTTCATGTACAAACTGAGGCCTGGTCTATGCCTAAAACTTAAGTTGGACTACATCATGCAACTTCACACTTGAGAGAGAGGTACTTACGCTGGGCTGCAGGGGAGGTGAGGAAACAGATGTGCAGCTCAGCTGGCTTGCAGGGGCGGGGGAGGGAGGGGACACAGGGAATTGATGCGTGGCTCAGCTGGGCTGTGGGGTAGGGGGCGGCAGCAGGGGGACTGAAATGATCTCCTCTGGTCTGGAAAAATCCCTCATTCAGGAAGGGGACTGAAATGATCTCCTCTGGTCTTGAAAAATCCCTCATTCAGGACCAATCAGGTCCCGAGGGTGCTGAACCAGGGAGATTCAACTCCTCTGCCAAGTCTGCTCTTGCACCCTCCCCCTTGGCCAGACACCTTACCCTCATCCTGCTCCTGCATCCACCATTGTTCCTGCACCCTCCCTCCTGGTCGCACACTGCACCCTTCCTTACTCCTGCTCCCTCCCCCTGGCCCGACACCCTACCTCCCACCCAGCCCTACTCCCAGCCTGCTTCTGCACCCTACTTCCCACCCAGCCCTCTCAACCTCTCCCCCTTCTGCACCCCATCTCCCTCCCATCCTGTCCCACACACTGAACCCCTCATTTTTGTCCCCACCCCAGAACCTGAGAGGGTCCATAAAATCCACCAGAAAAGCAAATCTGGCCATTAGGAAGACGTTAACCTCAGTCCTCCTTGACCCTTCCGCTTGCCCTGTGGAGCACCAGATAAGTGAGGTGTTTCCGTTGGGGGCCACGTCAGTGAGGGTCAGAGGTTTGGGGAGGAGTTTTTTTGTTTCTTACTTGTGTGGTCCCCAACTGATTTTTCTGTGGATCAGTGGCCCCTGATCCAAAAAAGGTTGCCCACCCCTGCCATAAATAAAGAAAACATTGAAACCTTTTTGTGTTGGACATACATTAATACTTTACTTTACTTAAAGTTTGATAAACTAACAGGAGAAAGTTAAAATGTTTAATCTGTTTAATAATTTAAATTTAACCATTCTCCCTCGCCGCAGCACTAGCAAAATGGCTTGGGCGTAATTGTGTAATTAACAGTGAGTTTTCATTAGCAACTGGTGGTCCGCAGAAAGGTTTACATTGAGCCTGGTGGTCCATGGGTTAAAAAGTTTGAGAACCACTGAAACAGAAGCCCTCCCTCCCCCCAGCTTAGAGACTGCCCTAGGCTCCTCTCTGCTCCACAACAGCCCAGAGAGAGACTGGGTCTGTTACCACGGTGGTAAAATCACTGTGCCTCTCCGGTGTGGATGATGGACAGACTTTTTGTGAGTCTTCTTCAACAAATCAGTTGAGATTAAAACAGCGTGATAAAATGCCATGTGAAAACACTTGGCGCAGCCACAGAAAGGCAGGGTGTCATCTCTTTCCAGAGAAGGTTGTCATGACTTATGTGTAAACAAGCCTTTTGTAAGCTCTGTGAAGAGGTGAGATGTTCTTACTTCCAGTTTAAAGGGATTTGTCTTTTTGTCTTTGGACTGCATATTGCCTAGATCTGAATGGAGTTAGCTGTGGAAACGCATTTCTGAGTTATTTTCATACACAAAGTGAAACCTGTGCCAAGGATCCCAAGACCAGTGAGAGAAACTGCTGCTGTCAGAATAAGTTAATTCAAAGACTCTCCAATTTTCTTCAAAGATCGCTTCTATTGGGCACTGGGGCTTTTACTCATTGGTCCCTGATATTTTTGAAGGGTGACTAAATGTTAACTGGATCTTTTTTAATAATGTCAACAGATTGCCCTGAGCTCAATCCTAGCTTAAAGTTTAAATTGGATCAGGCCTTTGTAAGCAGGCTGGGAAGTGGTCTCATTTGGCAATTATTATTAGCTATTATTTACATAATATAAGCATTGCCATCATGGAATTGAGATATGCATTTTTCAGTAACTTTACTGAACCCCATTGACCTCCATGGGAAATGTACCTTTCAAGCAGTGCTGGTAAGGGTCAGTGACATTGTCTTTTCCATCCTGTAATGGTCATCGTTAATTCAGTATTGTCATTCTGGCTTGTGCAAACTGAGGCCACTGGATAGTTTTGCAGTAACTTCAAAAAATGCAGTTGCAGTCCATCTCATTAGGGATGTAAATTCCCATTCATCAGTTAAGTGGTTAATGTTAGGTCACACTGGGGCTGCCTCTGGCTCCCAGCCCCCTCTGGAGCAGGCCGTGTCCACAGCAAGCTGGACCCCCCACCGAGAGAGGCTGCTCCAGACACTGGTGCAGTCCCCAGGTTCCCACAGAAGTGGGGACTGCTCCAGACGAGACCAACCCCTTTCTGCAGCGTGCCCTTTGCTGAGCTGGAACAGCCCACTGCCCACAGCAGGTGAGGAGCTGCTCCAGCCCCCTCTGATTACCAGTTAATTGGAACTGGTAAGCATCATCCATTAAGAGGACTAAGGAAATTGTCCCATGTAATTGTGGGATAATTCTGGATGACTCCCAAACCCTGAATCAAAGAGCACTGCATCTACACTGCAAAGTAATAGGTCTTGGATCCTGGATCTTATCTTGAATCAAGGTTGGACTCCTCGTGCTACACTATCATGGGGCCCTAGGTCTGGGGCCTGAGATAATGTAATTGCAGTATGGTTGCATGGGGGAGGGTCCTATGGGGTCCAAATCCATTCCTATTGGTAGAGGATGGTGAGAGGAGCAATTAGAGGGATCACATGACACTCTTAATGTCCAATCAAGTGTCCATTTTGACCCCAGAAGTACTACTCCCAGCAGTGGGGTTTCCTGTGGCAGGTTGATGTGGCATAAGGAGTCTGCGGCATGGTTAATGGGGTAAGTAGGCGTGGCCAATATGTCCTCATTTTTGGTTCAGAAAATATGGTTACCGTAGTCATACCTGTCCCACTGTAATGTCCACAATGTACCTATGCCTGGATTCATTACAGTTTGTTCTCTGATTTTACTTGTGTCTATTGTAAGAAAGTTTATTATTCATCCATGGAAGAAGAAAATCTCTGCTGTAATACAAAATCAGGGACTATTGTTTCACATAGCTAGTTTGTTTATTTTTTTGTTAAAATCAACAAGATCAATGCAAATGTTTTAGTTCCATTGTCCCCTTTAAACTAAAAACATGTGTGCTGCTTTATTTAAAGATGTGTGTGGCAAAACCTAGGTGAAGAATGTATGCACAGGAAACATCACCAAAACGCTAGCTGTGGATTTGAAAAAAATATTACAGCTGTGGCTCTGTCTTAAAGTATGTATTCCATGTTGTCTGAGTTAGTGGACAGCATGTATATGATTAGATTATAACACCGCATCTATTTGCCTGTTTCTGATTAATCCCTCCTCTTACTGATTATTATTGACAAAACTGGAGTGTAAACTAACACTAACCTGCTTAGCTCCTGCTAAGTTCTCATGAATATAAATGTACCCACCCATCCATCAAATTTACATTTATAAAGTGTCCTTCATAGAAGGACCCGAGGATGCAGGAGACAATCAATATGAAGATCAAAGTGTTAGAATTGATTCAATGAAAAATATGACTCAGTTATTTCAGTTTTCTGGTGAAAATTTTACATGGAAGACATGTGCCTGATTTGTCTTTGCACTAGCCACTAATTTCTATTATTTT